AAGGGTTTCATAATGGCAGTCCTATTTTGCTTGGATACTATTATCAAAGCATAGGTAGAACATTGGCACTAAAATATGGAACAAAATAGGCAAGGTGTGGTCTCAAGTGTGTAATTATTTAAAGCTCAATTCTCAAAAAATGTTTCATTAGATATGGAATAGATTTCAATAGTAGAAGTACAAAATTTTCTTTCATTGATTTCCACCTCAATTCTCATTATGCAACCACTTTACAATCAAAAGGCCTCCAAAGGATTAAAACCCTCTTCATAGCTCCATTTCAAATTCTTATTTTTTAAGAATAAATAATCAAATATCAATTAACAATTTTTTTTTGGATATATATGGTTTTTTATATTATTATTTTCATTGTTCTTAGAAAAAAACTACTTCAATAAGATAAGGTTTTATCTAAAGTTCAAGACAACAATACATTATATATCTTGAAAAGTGACCATCTAACTATTGTAATTTTTAAATTTTATATCTAGTATGAAGGAATAAAAGAAGGCAATTGGTTTTCATTTTTTACAATCCATTAGAATAAAAAAATAAATAAAACTAGAAATAAAAATTGAATAAAAGTTCAATCTAGAATTCTCCACTTGCATAAAAAATTATCCTTTGTACAAGAAGCACTACTTCTATAAAATTAGAAGAATCAAGTTGTAGGTATTTTTTTAAAGTTGTTTGTGTAGATTCGAAAACTAGTCCATTAAGACAAAGAATAACATGTATAAACCAATTCTATGGTTTTTTGTGTATACTTACCTTAAATCATAATGCATATCTTTGGATAATGTATAAAGAAATTATGACTTAACTAATTAAATAAATCAGAAAGCTTTTGCAACTAGTTTTTTTAATACTAATATAATAATAAGCAAATGAAACACCTTGTTAGTTTATAATTTTTCTAATAGAACAATGTTTGGTCCCAACCATGTTCTTGCAAAGAAGCAATGATCATTTGGCTTATATAACATAAAAGAGAAGCATCTATCACTAAAAATAAATCCATGTATTGATATACATTGTGTTGTTTATCTTCTCCAAAAGCTTGAAACAAGCCTGTATAATTTTTGGCAACGTCTTCAAGCTTGTAAATTATAGAATTATGTGACCTTTCTCTCACACAAATTAACAACTGAATTGTAGGAATGGGGACCCTAGAATACATTTTTATGGAAAGAATATTTATCCCCAGTTTATACATTTCTATAAAATTTGGGTATTGTAAAGTTGCTTAGTATATTAACTATTAGGATACAAAAGAAAGAAATATATCTTTGAATAAGACATTTAAAGTGATCTCTATAATAGAATTTTACTTTAAAAAAGACTAAAAGAATATGGGCAAGGTGTGCAGAAAATTTTAAAGGAAAAAATTGGAAAACACATTACAGATAAAGTGTCCATTTTCATGAGATATGATACATTACAGATGGCTAAACATTTGTAAGAATTTAGGATATTTCAAGAAATTAATTATAGTAATAAAATATTACAAAGTGATTAATTATACATATTGGTGTAATAATATAAGAAATTAAACATTCACTTCTTATAAAAATCTTGACTTTTTCTTCTTAGATATAAAGTCTAGGATTTGTATTGTACTTCTTTTGATTATTTAATACATTAGTTGAATTCCATTTTTTGTCAAAATTACAATAATAATAGAAATTCTATCAGACACCTTAACTATTCTAATCTTATTTATCTTTTGTTAACTTATATGCAAATATTACTTAAATTTATATTTAAAAAATAAATATAAATTATTAGTTTATTTTTAAAAAGTATATTACTTATTTATATATAAATACAAAATAGTATTCTTAAAATGTGATTAGAAGCGTAATTAAACAAAAAATAATTAACTAGAATATTTTAAC